CATGTGTGAAAACGTCCAATGCTGGTGGCACTAGTTACTCTGATTTCTCATTTCTCATAGGTGTACACTGAACTTTTTGCTTGTACTCTTTGATGGAATTTATGTACCTTACAGTCCAATTATCAAAATCTGTCACCACAAGAAGTGCCTCTGGAACCACCAGCACTGTTAGTATATCTGCTGGAACACCACTGAGTTTTTGTCTTCAGAAATGCATCCCTGATGTGGCATATTCATTCATTTTCTGGTGTTTGAGCTCATTTATGGTGCTTAGCAGATTTCAAGTGCCACGTATTGACAGGACAGATTATTTCCTGATCCCAAGCAACTATGCAGAAGCTTTAAAATGAGTCAGCATGAACTACAGGGGAGAAAAACTATATTGTGTGTGGAAAACTCAAGAAAAAGGGGGCAGAAGAAGTCAAAGCCTGTTAAAGGATTGGAAAGACGTAACCATCTAGGCTAGACTCTCCGAGTAAGACTGTGTTCAATCTGAAAAATCAGACAGATAGGTTGCTGTCAAAGGGATTTACGAGAAGTGTAGACAGAAAATGTCCCAAACCCATTTTGAGGACTGACAGAAAAATAGCCTTCATTCATTTATCATCTTTAAAATGTCCAGCTACAAAACATAAACTAATTCTAAAGAGATAGAAAAAGAGACAGCTGCCATATCAAAACAGAGTAACCATAACATTTTACCTAGCTTTACATGGCATTTTATGAACGTCTTTGAAAATGGTGCCCTTTTGATTTTTTCCTTAGAAAAATCAAAGGCCCCAGAGGGTATGCAGAGGTGGTCTGGGGCTTTCCTGTGTGCTTTTCTTTAATGACAGGTTTACCAGGTTATAGCTGTGTGATGGGGCTCCATAGCATCCTGTATAGACAGCCATTCTGGAAAGCGTCAGTTCAGTGGACAGAACCTCAGGCGGACATGAGTGGAAATGAGAAGAGGAAGAAAAGAGGAGATGATAAATGACTGCAGCTTTATTTAACAAGGCTAAGGTTAATATTTAAAGTAAAGGCATGTGCTTTTTTTTTTAAATACTAAATGACTAAAATCAATCCCAGTGATTTCGATCATTGTTATAAAGCAATGAATGTCCACCTTCACATATACCTTGATGGTGCTAGGCATTGTGGTAGATAGTTTGATTGCAGCTGCCATAACGGACAAGCAAGCTGTTGCTCCTTTTCCTGTCTTCATTTCTTGTTCACTTGGGACACAACAACAGTCAGTGTCAAAGAGGTAGAGAAGCAGCAGCAAGGATCTGGTGGCTTGCAGTGGGCCCCTGCTGAGATGTAATCCTTGGCGGGAGCCCAACCATGCCACCTCCTTACTGGAGTTTAGAATGGCTATCTTTTGGGGAGTACATTTCCCAGAATCCTGTACCCAGGTTGACATTGTCCATACCGGCTGGGGGATTCTGAGAGTTGGAGGGTGTGTTTCCACCGGCTGTCAGTCCAGAGCATTATGCCCCAGATTGGGCCAGGATCAACACAATGGTAACAACACACACTGGGCCAAATCCAGTGAGATGCTGCATTGTTGTGCACATAGGCTAGCTGGGCTGACATCGCATCAGCCCTGCTGGCTTTTCCCCTATTTTTGGAGCTGCAACTGCCACTGCCTCACAGGCAGGAGCTCCATGTAAAGCCTGGCTGGTGTGCTGTCACTTTTGCCAAAGTCAGAAATGGCCGCCTGGACATGTGATGATCAACCAGTATTCTGACAGTTTTCTGACACCAGCAGAAGTGACAGCACACTGGGCATGCTTTACATGAAGCTTCTTCCTGTAAAGAAGCAGCATCAGTGGCTCCAAAAATGGGCCATCCCTTCCTCCTGTGTTGTTCAGAGTGAGGAATGGTGATGGTGCAGCTCTTGGCATATGGACAACTGGATCAGGTCAAATCAGTTCCAGCTCTCCACATGCCTAAAGAACTTAAGGTTAATCTGGAGTTTCTGGGAAACACTAGGCTTTCCCTTGACATTGCTTAATTTGGAGAAGTCAGATTAAGGGCAGAAAACCTGGATTCTCCCTGGAAGTAGGCATACATTATCAGGACTGCCACTACCAGCTTCGGGGTAGGTACAGCATTTTTTTACTGATGTAGATAAGCTTATAGTATAAAAAAGTAGTGTTCCTAAATTTATGCCCTTGACACAGGCATTGATTCTCTCCCACCTTCCTTCCTGCCCCATAACGTTTCCCAAAATTCACAAACCTGTTTACTGAGAACACAGAACAAATTAATACAAAGATTGTGCTATCACCAAAACAGCCCCTCCATTTTCATTCCTTAGCTTTGGTTATACCTGAGCATACATCCTGTGTAACTCTGCCTTTTCAGGTGTTGATGTGCCTAGGTAAAAGGTAAATGTATTTGGTCATCATATCATTATTAGATCATCACTTTTGAAGTCATGCATATAGTTATGATTCCAAAATATGTTTATGAACAACTGAGCCAGTGTGGCATAGTGGTTTAGGTGCTGGACTATGACTCTAGAGACCAGGGTTCATTTCCCAGCTCAGCCATGAAACCCACTGGGTGACCTTGAGCAAGTAACATGCTCTCAGCCACATGAGAGGGCAATAGCAACCCTCCTCTATACAAATCTGGCCGAGAAAATCCCATGATATATCCACCTTAGGGTCACCATGAGCTGGAAATAAATTGAAGGCATACAACAACAACAACAAAGTCCCAGTGAGTTCATTGAGGCTTTCTCTTCAATAGGTGTGGGTAGCATTTCCCATAGGTAGGGTTTCTCAAAGCAGGTTTCATTTCTCATCTAGAAACTTTAGGGCTTACTGAACTTTATCCAAGATCCTATTTTCTGATAGACTTGAGATGTCAAGAAGTAGAATCTGATTAATGAAAAAGGATCATATATACTGGTAGATCATATATAATTCTAAAAAGTGAGATGGAAGCTGCAATAAGAGAAATAGTGAAAAACAAATCACCAGGAACAGACAATATTCCAATTCTAAAAAGTGAGATGGAAGCTGCAATAAGAGAAATAGTGAAAAACAAATCACCAGGAACAGACAATATTCCACATTGTTAGAGTCAACTCTAATGCTAACCAACATGTCAACAGATATGGAAAACAAAACAATGGTGAATAGATTGGAAGTGGTCAATATACATCCCCTACCACAAAAAAGGAGATACAAAAGACTGCAACAACTACTCTCCCATGCAGGCAAAATTATGCTCAAAATTCTGCAACATAGACTCCAATCATACATGGAAAGAGAAATCCCAGAGGTCCAAGCAGGGTTCAGGAAAGGGAGAGGCACTAGGGACCACATTGCAAATATACAATGGCTAATGGTGTGCACCAGGGAATTCCAAAAGAAAATCAGCATGTGCTTTATAGATGATAGCAAAGCCTTTGACTACATAGGTCATGAAAGGCTATGGAATGCCCTTAAAGACATGGGAGTGCCAACACATCTGATAGTGCTGATGAGGAACCTGTACTCTGGACAAGAGGCTACTGTCAGAACAGAACATGGAGAAACAGAATGTTCCCAATTGGCAAAGGGGTCAGACAAGGTTGCACACTTTCACTCTATCTGTTCAACTTGTATGCAGAATATATTATAAGAAA